TTGAAAATGCGAGAGGGAAGAGTGTTATGTGGGAAATTAGAAATTCTTAAGTGATCAATTATTACCTTTAAGGCAGAAAAAGACACTCAAACTGCTGAAAAACAGTTGAACATTTAGAAGCTGGAACTTTGTCTATCACTGAACGTTATAATACATTCAATTAACACTTTATCAGGTGCATCTTGCTAGTACATGGTTGGCTCTGGTTTTTGGTTCTTCGTGGGATTCAACGATGCTGCAACCATTCCTCAGACTTTTCCCCCCATATTAATATGATGACATCACAGTTACTGCTGATTTGTCGGCTGCTCAACTGTGATGACGATCTCCCACAACAATAACACTCAGATAGGCTGTGGGTTTAACTAAGGGAAACACAATAAACCAAGAAATTATCCCCCACACCATTACACCTCCAGCAGCCTGACCCATGCTTTCATATACTTTACACCAGATTCTGACACTCCTATCTGAATGTTGCAGCAGAAATCACGGTGTGGTCTTCTGCTTCGAGGCGTACATCTCTTCTGCATACTTTAAATATAACAAGTAGTTATTTAAATTGCTGTTGCCTTCCTATCATGTCAAGGTCATGTTTATTTACATAGCACATTTAAAACAATAAAGTCAGCTGTGTAAAAGTGCATTAAAAGTATATGGCTACAAGAAAAATTACACTAAAACATTAGGAAATTTTAATATAATACTTAACATTAAAATAAAATAAGATTAAAAAACTGAAATAAAAACGTAAATACAAATAAAATCAGACAACAAAGGACGAGGATGTCAACTGGTGCCAAATTCCAAGGAGAATAAATGTGAAAATAAATGTGTTTTTAATGAAGATTTAAATGTGTGTGCTGTCTATCATGACTGGCTATCATCTTAATGCATTGGTGGCATGCGATTGACCGACCGGATATTTGAATTTGCGTGCAGCTTGACAGGGTGTGACTGACAGAGTGGCCAGGGAGTGTTTTCCCACTCACTGAAGCGCCATCTACTTTTTAACCACTAGAGGGCACCACTGTCCGACCTTAGAAACCGACATCACAAGCTTGATGTTGGTTGTGATCTCCAAGTTTCCTCTCAGAACAGTGAGGATCACGGATAGAGTCAGTCATGCAAAAATACAGGATATTCCCAAACTGGGAACATACTGTCAATGAGAGTCTGTGAAACAACTTCCCCAAATTTTAAGATAAATGAAACTGACATGGCTGCCCAAGACAAGTGGCTGGTGGTGCAGTGATTGGGACTGATGCCTCACAGAACAAGTTCCTGGATTTGAATCCATTAGGCTTTGGCTTTTCCGTGCTGAATTTCTATGTTCTCTGTGTGATTGAGTACTCCGGGTGTCTCCTGACATCCAAAGACATGCATGTTTGAGGTTAAATGGTAATTCCAAATGGGTCATGGGTGTGTCTGTCTCTGTGACAGCTGGAGTTAGCTCCAGCCCCCTCATAACCCTAAATTGGAAAGTAGATTGTACATTCACGAGCACCAGAGAGGAAACATGTAAACCTCCAAAAAGCGATCCCTAAAGGTTCACTCTGTTCATCTGGACGTAGCGTTTTCAGTGGGAGAAACGTTTCGTCACTCATCCAAGTGACTTCTTCAGTCTCAGCTGATTGCAGCTGCAACCTTATCAACAGTATATTTGTGCAATGACTGATCAAAGACCGTTGATCATACAAATCATGCTTCGTCATTAGGATGTGAAACAAACGGTTATTTCAATCTTACACAGTAAATTTTCCAGCATTTAGTAATCACTATAAGACCGTAGACTCTGCATACAAAAGTGTCTTCTGCAACAGATAATTTCATTTATAACGAGCGCACTTTAACATCTGAGACAAAATCAGGCATTTGCCCAAAGAAAATTATATTTTGTATCTGAAATACTACATTGGAAAAGTTAAACAAAGATTTTCTGTTCTTATATTTTTGAGCAGTGAATTAGGGACAATTTAAAAACATCTCTTGTGACCTCACTGACATGTATGTTTTTACCAGGAAAGCTGCTTCTGTTCGGCCGTTACAGCTCGACAGGTGTACAGAATTGTACTTCCTCCTCGTGTCGTTATTACTGTAAAAAGGAGAGTAAAGTTTGCGATAAGACAGTCAAAAGGTCAAGGAATACAGCTGCCCTATCACACACTCCTTTCCCCATCAGAGTTCATGAATCATCAGGTGCTTTTGTTCCTCAGTCATTTGACAACTGCATTCAGTTTTGCAATTACTCACTGCATGGATATCAGATCAATATTAGCATTTATATAAACCCTAAACAATTGGCAATATTTACACATTAAATGGCCACTTTATTATGTACAGTGTTTTACTTACAACTAAAAACTACCTTTTGATTATCAAACCGAACATCAGAAAGGGGAAGGGAAGGGGGATTTAAGCTACTTTGAATCTAGCATGTTTGTTATTGCCAGACAGTATGAGTATTGCAGGAACTACAGATCTACTGGGATTTCCTGCACAGCCATCCCTACGGTTTACAGAGAATGATCTGAAAAAGAGTGTGTGGGAGTTCTCTGAATGACACTGATTGGAAGGAAACAGTAATTCAAACAACCACTTGCCGAGCAGAAGACTGCACCAGGTGTCACTCCTGTTATTGAAGAACCAAATCCTGAGGCTATGATCATGCAGGCTCACCAAAATTGGATAACAGAAGGTTAGAAAACATTGCCTGCTCTGATGAGTCTCGATTTGTGCTGCAACATTCAGATGGTTGGGTCAGAAAACTACATGGTGTGAACTACATGAAGTCAGGGATCCATCCTGCGTTGTATAAATACATTGGTTCATTTTGCAGACCCGTAGTACCGAGGATCTGTTAAACCCTACAGCCTACATGACACTCAATAACTCAGGTGTTGTTGATTGTCTGATGACCGCTTCCAGCAGAATAACGAACCGTGCCACAAAGCTCAACCGAGATTTAGCAAAGGTTGGCTCCGCCCCAGTGGAGGTGTTTCGCTCCCCCGTCACGACTCCCAGAGTTGGATCATACTATGATTTTGCTAACCTGCAATCTTGTTTTATAATCCTGTTTAGTTTTTTTGTTGTACAGGGTGGGCCATTTATATGGATACACCGTAATAACATGGGAATGGTTGGTGATATTAAAGTCCTGTTTGTGGTACATTAGTATATGTGAGGGGGCAAACTCCTCAAGATGGGTGGTGACCATGGTGGCCGTTTAGAAGTCGGCCATCTTGGATACAACTTTTGTTTTTTCAATAGGAAGAGGACCATGTGACACATCAAACTTATTGGTAATGTCACAAGAAAAACAATGGTGTGCTTGGTTTCAACGTAACTTTATTCTTTCATGAGTTATTTACAAGTTTCTGACCACTTATAAAATATTTTATAACACATATGTGTTCAATGTGCTGCCGATTGTGTTGGATTGTCAATGCAACCCTCTTCTCCCACTCTTCACACACTGATAGCAACACCGCAGGAGAAATGCCAGCACAGGCATCCAG